ACACGCAATTATGACTTCAGTATCAGAATCCATTCACCCATATGTATCTAGTGCAGAGACCTCGCATGAAGCTTGGGTGATACTTGAAAGACTTTATGCAAATAGCTCTCGTACGAGAGTTAATGCATTGAAAGAAAGGCTCCAGAATCTTCGGTGTGAAGGTAGAGCGGTAGTAGAGTATCTTCGCACTATAAAAATCCTAATTGATCGGATTGGAAATGTAGAAAAGGTACCCCTAAACAATTCTGACATTTAAGTTTATCTGCTTAACGGTTTGGGACATGAATACAGGGAATTCAAGGCCTCAATTCGAGCCTGTGATGGGCCCCCATTGTCATTTGAAGACTTACAAGATCGACTATTAGCCCATGAAGAGTCTCTACAAAGAGAGGAGGCTCTTGTTGGTGATACCAATGCACCAATTACCGCACAATTTGCTTTTGTGCATCCTCGTACTGTTGGAAATCCTAGCGGCTATGGTGTCTTCAATGCTTGGAACTCGGTAGGTGGCCATTATGATGGAGTTCAAGCACACTTCAATCGGACTTCTAAGCCCAACTCAATAGCTTCACCTTATACCAACAGCCAATTTAATGGGTATGCCTTAAAGGGTTGTGGAGGAGCCCGAGGAAACCGTGGAGCCCGAGGAGGGAAAAATAATCGGAATTCCTCCAACATGTATAATGGTTACAATGCTAATGCATGTCAATTGTGCAATGGTTTTGGACATTTTGCCAGGAACTGTCCTGAACTCAAAAATCATGCTCATGTTGCCAACTTTGCAACAATTTCCACTTTAAAGAAGGGTGATTGGTGGATAGATTCTGGAGCCTTTGATCATGTTACTCTTGACTTGGCAACCTTAGCACTTCACTTAGAATATGATGGGTCTGATGAACTACTCATTGGTGATGGATCAGGTTTGACTATCTCACATGTGGGTCACACCACACTATTAAGCAACTCTAAGCCTTTAACCTTAAAAAATGTTCTTTGTGTACCTCATGCCTCACGTAACTTGATTTCGGTTTCCAAATTATGTCAAAATAATAATGTGTTGGTTGAGTTTCATCCTGATTATTTTCTTGTGAAGGATCGAACTACGGGGGCGACGCTTCTTCGAGGGCCCAATCAGCATGGCGTGTATCGTCTACCCCTTCAAAATCCAAATAAATTGAGTTCGATGGCACTAATTGGTGAAAGAACGTCCCCCTTGGATTGGCATGCAAGATTGGGACATCCTTCATCAAAAACTCTAAATAAAATTATTAGCAGTGTTCCTTTACCCCTTTCTAATAAATCTAGGTCTTCTTTGTGTGAGCCATGTTTTTGTGCCAAAAGTCACAAGTTGCCTTTTGGAGCCTCCTCTATTTCAAGCAATAAACCTTTAGAAATAATTTTTTCAGATGTTTGGGGCCCAGCTCCTTCTATGTCTATTGATGGCTTCCTTTATTGTGTGATTTTTGTTGATTTATTTAGTCGATATATTTGGATCTTTCCTATTAAATGAAAATCTGAAGTTGCCATAATTTTTCCAAAATTTCATACTTTAGTTGAAAATCAATTTGGTACCACAATCAAATCTTTTTATTCTGATGGTGGTGGGTAATATCTTGCTTTACGTGATTTCTTCCAAAAAACTAGCATCTCACACTTTACTACCCCACCTTACACACCAGAATTAAATGGGATTAGTGAACGTAGGAATCACCACATTGTTGAAACCGGTCTAACACTATTATAGGCTGCCTCACTTCTTCCACGTTTTTGGAGTCATGCCTTCACAACTGCTATATATCTTATTAATCGCCTTCTCGGACCTACAAATATCTCCCCTTTTGAAAAATTGTTTCATCTCAAACCCAATTATCTTAAACTTCGGATTTTTGGTTGCACTTGTTATCCATGGTTACGTCCTTATAATTCTAATAAACTACAACCTCGTTCTCGAAAATGCGTTTTTCTCGGTTATTCCGTTGATCATCTTGGGTATAAATGCTTTGATCCCTCTACTGGGAAAATTTTTGTCTCTCGTCATGTTCATTTTGATGA